TTTTTTTAGAAGGTGTGCATTTTCTCTTTCATTCTGGTGGTTTGTTTAAGGGCAATTAAATTCATAGCACAGACCATAGCATCCAGGAAGTTTTACAGCACTAATTTCTATACAAGCCTTCAAAAAAGAGTCTGAATATTGTTGGAAACAGTTCTCTTGCATGTTTGTGATGGCAGTAACTGGAAGATAATAAAGAAAAATACTTAGACTGCAGTCAGAGATGTGCCAAATCCTCCAGGGAAGTTCAGGTAGCCATTAGAGGACATGTCCACCAGCCTGCTGGTGCAGATTTTTAATAGAAAAAGAGTGTTAATAAGAAACAAAAAACCTGTGATGTTTGTATTCCACAGCTTCATAGAACTCCCCTTTAGGTACTGATCCTTGCCTCATTAAGTAATTTAGTGATTTCAAACACACTTTTTTCCTTTTTAAAAACATTTTGAGTGGTCTCTTTTGGATTTTTCAGTTAGATTGAATTCCAAGGCAAAGTATATGTCCAGCCTTGATCTCTTGAAGAATATAAATAAGAGGAAATGTTAAAAAAGATAAAAATTAAAGTAAATCCAAGTTCCCCAGAAAAACAAAACCAGAAACCAACTAACCAACCAAAACTGTGAAGTAAACATGAAATGTGCAGATTATATGCATGAACCAAACTGTTTTATAATGTCTGTTGATTACTTTCTTTGAAAGTTTTTTCATATGTCTTATAAAAGTTATGAAACAAAAAAAAGAGAAAGTTATTGTAATTTACTCAAAGGCCATACCAAGTAAGTCTTCAACCCTCTACTGAATTAGCTTGAAGTATGAATAATTAATACCTGCCTGCTTATGCTGTTATCACCATTATCTAGTATTGCTTTGTATTGCAGTTAGCAACCAAAATGTGCTAATCACATACAAGAAGAAACAAAAATTCTACCAATGCAGGGAGCTTAGTTATTGTTAACAGCAAGGGTCAAGAGATGTGAACAACAGCGAAAACCGCAATGCAGAAACATGCAGAAAGTGGTGGGAAAATGCTGGAGGTTTTTGTACTCTTTATTAAAAAACAACAGATTTTTGTTCTAAATTGCTGTTGATGTCAGAGTTCATGGACATTTCCCATTTCTCTCAGCCTTTCTTCCAGCTTGAATAGGAGAAAGACTCCTCAAACAAGCTCACCACTTTTTTCTTTTTTTTTTTCATTCCTGTCTCATTTGCTATGTTGGATCATACTGCTATCCAAGCACACTTTGCAGAGACAGAGAAGCTCTATACACAAAGGTAGTCCTGCATGATTGTCATCTAACATCAGCATCTCCCCAGCAACTCACCTGAAGTCCCACAACTGTACTCAGCTGCTCCAGTTCTATTATGGTGAAAATCTGTTTTCACCTATTTTCAGTTCTGCAATCTCAAATCTTCTCCTTCTGCATGATTTGAAAAAATGCAGAGCAGATGCATTTGCCAAAGTTCCATGTGGTATAGTGATTTCCTATGGTGGAAAAATACACTCCACATAGTAACTACTGTAAGTCAAGTCCATTTAACCTACACAAGGACTTCTATTGTCTTACAGAGTTTGGGAGGATTTGGGAGGCCTGGTGTCCAAAGTCTGTGGGAGGTGTGATGCATTAGATTGTTGCTTATATAGGGTAGCAGAGTTTTTGTATAATAGGCAGGCAGATATAAAGATGGAATACAGACTCCAGTTTCTCATTAATAAGTCTAGCTAAGAGCTAGACATGGGATAATCATTCTATAGCTTTCCTATTTCCTTTTATTAATTTTGCCATACTTCTTAAACCCCAAAGCATTTTCCCCTCTCTCTTGTGGTTTGTATAGGAGTGTATAAGACTGCAGACAGTACCCTTTTTTCACCATTTTATTTTTCAGATCTTTCACCTGACACACAAAAGGGAGACTTTAAACAATTTTCTGTTAAGAGAGCGACAGCATGGCTTTAAAATTACGGTTAGATATGTACACTCCATCATTTCATTATCTCAGTCTAACTTTCCCTTTCTCTCACTTTCAATTTTCAGTCCAGTAGTTATTTCTCTTCATCTCAAAAAGCAGTTCTTTCTTATTCTTGTACTGCTGAAGCCACTGCTATTGTTTTAGGATTGAAATTAGCAGAGGAAAGGAGCCTGTGATGCTTGTAAAAACACATATCACAGAACTATAAAATTGTATATATTTTAGTTTTAAAAATTTTGTCTTTAACATTATTAATAGAACACTTCCTTAATTGACTCAGCTAAACTTTGGACATTTCTTTATTATTTTCCTTTTCTCCAATTTTCTTTATATGCTTACATGAGCTGAAATCTCTATGTTTAGATTTTAGTTCATTATTTCAATCTTGCCAAAATTTTCCCATCTGTGGTTTAGTCTTTTGCAGACAACCTAGTGATCCCTAAACCACAATTTGAAAAACACTCCTTGGAAAATGATCCTCAGTTCTTGTTTTTGTCTTTTTCTGGAGTTAGAGAATTGATGGGTCCAAGCTTATCAATTGAAGTTTTTTGGGAACGGGACTGATTCCTGTGAAGAATGTTGCCTGATGCAGCCAAAATATATTGACTATATTAAGAACAATATATTTGTTCAAAAATGAGCAAAATGCATACAAAGGGACAGAATCGGATTATTATAATTCATAAGGTCAAACCATAAACTGCCCATAAAGCAATAGAACATGCCATCTTGATGATCACATTTACATTAATAGCTTTAGATCAGGTGCTCCTGCTGTGAAGGAAATAGGAAAACTTCTTTGGGGTCTTTTATCTCTAGGTGTGGATTAATTCGTACATTTTCCAAAATGTGTCTTCTAGCTATTACTTTAAAACACACAACGTATTAGCAAATCTTCGTTTACCCTTCAGTGATTCTTCAGAAGGAATCTTCAGCTGCTCTGCTATAGTTCTCTGTATTACCTACAGCCTTAGCTACTGTGTAAGAATACTTCTTGACCAGAAAAGTTCTGTACCACATGCCCAATGTGAATATTAACTGCTCAGGTCCAATTTTTAAAAGCATGTCTTTGTTTAAACAATTCGAAAATGATAATGAAGAAGATTTATGAAGTTATTAAATTGATTACTTGTTTAATGTCTCCTTCCTATGGTAGGGTAAATGAATAGCTCAAGGTGGTCTTCTAGCATGTTTGAATAAATGTCAGGATTACTCCAAATAGACTTTTTTTAAGCTCAAAACAAGACCATGATTTTCTTAGAAATATCCATGAATTTCCATAATGCATCTGTTCAGCATACCAGTCTTTGTAAGTATTTTCCTTAAAAAGAAAAGAAACCCCTAGAAATAAAGGCAATTGCTTAAGTAAGCAATTTTAAAGTTAAATATTGTCTTAGAAGTACTGTGGATGGAAAACAGTTCCTTGGTACTGCATGAATAGTCCACTGAGGTTAATTAGTGAACTGCTCAGGTTTTGCAGGAGCCAAGAAGCATTGAGAGGTAATCCAAAGTTTGGATTGAATTATTCTTATGGGGACTTGCAAATGGAATTTACAAATTTCCAACTGTGCAGAGTGTGGTATGGGGTTGTTTTTTTCTTTAGAAAATTGCTGTTTGGAAACAATTCCAGCAATACATTACAATGCTATGTTATAGTCACGAGCTACCAAAATTATCATGAGTAAGTGATCCTTGACGAGTCAAGAGCTGGATGTTTAATTGCCCACTTCTGGGACTCTCATTTTGCTCTGTGTCTAGTCTCTAAGTTAGGGCCCATTTTCCAGTCCTACAGTCCTTCTGACTCGTGTCCTGTGGATGTCTCTGGCTGATGAGAAGACACTGTTAGGAGAGACTCACCATGCAAGCACTCAGAGCATGTGAGAGGCCTCTCTGTAGGTGGCATTTACAGCTGGTGGGGAAGGCATGGAGCTGGTGCTGTTGATTGCTGTGCACACACCACTCCTCAGGGTGCCTTGGCATGGATGATGTGCAGCTTCTCTGGGCAGGCACTGAGCTGTTGCAGAGCAGTGAGAAATTCCCAGGTGCTGCCAACCTGGAGCCAAGGGAGTTGAGAGGTGCCTTGCTGGGATAGCTCTGCCCTTGATGTAAGTTCTTCTCTGTGTCTGGTGTCCATCCCCTGTAACCCTCTTTCCTGCCTCATCTGCCTGGTGTCTTCTGAGTAATATGTTTAGGTTTGCAGCATGCAATAGCTCTTTACCTAGAGCTTCTGACTGTAAGGGTATGTTTCAGCTGAGCTGCAGAATTAGAAACCACTTTGTCTTGCCTGTCTATCACTGTTAATCAAGCATTGAGAGGTGGGCAAGGCTTAAGAAGAGGAGCCTGGCTTGGATTTTTTTCTTTCATCTTGTTCTATTTTCATAGCACTGTGTTTGGTTCCCAACACAGCAGTGATGAAAAGAGATCACGAGATAACTACAGTACAGACTGGTGTTGTGCAATTTTATTATAAAAAACATACAAAAGAGACTCTGCAATATCTTGACATCACTTCATATATTTACTATTAACATATATTTAAACAACTGGATCTTGGCCTTGGCTGAGCTCCTGTCCTGGAAGACATGCCCTGTGTTTCACTACTGGCCCTGTCTGTCACTGTTGGTGGGCCTGAGAGGCATTGAATTGGAGGTTTGTGTTCTTAAGAAGCAAAATAAATAGCAATGAGCTTTACTCAGTCTCTGTTTATCAGGTTGCTTCAGACCTCATCTGAACTTGCTCCCTTTGCCAGAACTGAAACTGCTGTGTGAGTAGAGACAGACTTAAACCAGTGGTGCATTAAATCAAATATTAATAGTGTGTGTGTAAAGAATTATCAAAAGGACTGGTTAATTATGTGTTCAGAGAAATCTTATGCAGTTAAGACAAAAAACATCTCAGTGTTTTCAGGGCAAGAACTGAGGTCTTTTTGTTCTTCTCCAGAAGGCAAGTAACACCAGGTGTGTGATACTTGCTTGCTCCAGACTCTGGAAGTATTCATTGGTTTGCAAAATTTTCATCTCTTCTATTTTATTCCCCAGTTATGAATTCCACGTGAAACCTAGAAACCCTCTCGGTGAAGGTCCAAGCAGCAATGTTGTGTCATTCAGTACTGAATCAGGTAAGAACCTCCAAAGATCAGACCATCATTTACAGTGGCTTTAGTATCCATGTGTATGGGATGTATGAAAAGGGTCTCTCATTTCATTTTATGCATTTGGTCTTGCTCCTTACTATCTCCTGATTGGCTTTTAACAACTGAGCAATGTAGTAGTGGGAGGTCAGCCTGGGATCAGGACTGTATTGTGTGAGGATGTAAGATGGCCAGACTGCAAGAGAAAAAAAGAGAGGACTGCTTGTCTGGTGTTCACTGTGAAGAAAATAACTTCATTGTTAGAGAGGGCTCAGTCATCTAAGATTTATATTCTTGATCTTTTTGCACCTATCAAGCTCATTAATGGCTCTGGATGGGAACATAAGGTTTTTCTTTGGGCCGGTGTGTTCGTAGTCACTTCTGCTACCTGTTCAATAAGGCTGCTGTATAACAGTGATGTCATTTGGCTGAAATAAGGATTGAGAAATAGCAGTTGGGAAAAGTCAGTGTCCCAGTAGTCCCCTTCCATCCTGTTTACTCTCCTGTGAAACTGTTACAGAGGTGTATACAAGCCTGTTTTGGACATTGTTTGGTTCCCAAGTCAAGTCCTATCTGACTCAGAGGTGATAATTAGAGCATTACTCTTGTTCTCCCTGAGGATAACTACAACTGACTTGTTGACTTTGTGCAAGTAAGATACCATCTTTTGTGTAGAAGTGTTTATTTCTTGATGGTACTTAAGGTCCACATAAAGCATAAAATGGATTTAGCCTTTTTAAGAGGAATTTCTCCATCTGTGTTTTGAGCCAGGTGTAATAATATAATAGTCCTCATCTAGTGCTGTCATTGGTGGTTTTCTGGCTGAGCAAGAAATTACTCAGGGAGTAGTTCAGACCATGCCACACATATTTAAAAACTCTGAATACACTCTTTGTAATCCTAGATTGTTAAAACTGAAAAAAAAGTGTTTATGCCAAGTGCAGTTTTCATGAATGACAAGGATTATGTTCTGTCTCCTATTTAGCTTGGACAAATTAAGCATTCAGTTTTATTTTTTCTTAATTGCACACACCATTTCTCCCACATTGGGCCAAGATTTTTGTGGCGAGTATTGCAGATGTGTCCTTTTTATTATTTAGGTTTTGAAATTGAAATTTTAATAAGACACAGTACAATTGGGTTTTGCTGGTTACAGGTTTAAACTTTTGTTTTTACTAGAACTCTGTTTGGCTGGTGTTGTCCCATGAATAAAATTTTTAAAAGCTCATTGATACTGGAGTTTCACATAAGAAATACTTTTTTTTTAATTTAATTTAATGCAAAAGTTAACTTTGCTTCCAAAACACTTTCTGTTTCACAAATTACAGCTTATGTCAGCTGTAAAAAATCACTTACCTATGCTTTTCCATTGAAATATTGGGAGCGTTCATTTTACAGTGTCTGATTGAATGTTTGTTTTCTTCCCCCAGCGGACCCAAGAGTGAGTGAGCCAATTTCAAGTAAGCCTCTTTTATATGTACCTGATCAAGACTTTTTTCAGAAATGAGATAGCATAATTTTGTGAGGGGGGTGGCTGTGCTGCACCAATTAAATGAGTTCTGGAATCCAACAGCATTCACACATGGTTTCACTCCTTCCACGCACACGCCTGGTGAGGAATTCATGCCAGGCTGCTTGTTTACCTGAGCGGAACACAATCAGCGTGATGTGGAGCTCCCATGGCAGCTGGGATGGCTTCAAACCAATGTACACAAATGAGCCAAGGACAGTCTCATATTTTCTCAGCCTTGTCATTAAAGCACAGAAAGCTCTGTAAAATGAATAAGTTACTCCATGCTTCTTAAGTGAGTTAACAGAGCACAACTCAGAGGATTCTGTTTATCTGTCATTGTGTTTTAGAAAAATGTCCTGCTTCAGAAGGCTTGATCTAGCTCTGCTTAGACCTTACAAGACTCTTGCTGTCTTTGGTGGGAGGTGGACTGAGCTTTTGAAGAAGAGCTGAGATCACTCAAGCAAATTGGGCTGCTTTTTGCATTTGTAATGGATATCACGTTGACAAGCACTGACATTTCTTTCCACATAATTAACGATATATAATTTTTATGTGTATTTTTGTTAAATCATATACAACTTGCTTCAGGTTGTCTTGGCTTAAATGCACTGAAAAATGATGACTGTATCACGCACTCTGTAAATGTGAGTTTTGTCAACACACAGACATTGTCCCCCTAGCAAGGTGCTAGAATGAGCTTATTCCAAACTGGCACTACATGAGAGCAGGAGGAGTTCACTGCATTAATCATACCTGCACTCTTTGGTGCTTCCCTGAAATATTTTTCATGTTCAGGTGTCACGATACATTCTGCTTCATCAAGGTTTCTAATTCTAGTCATTCAAATGTATTTTTTGTGCATAATTTTGTATGCAGCATCACACTTCAGCCTCTTTTTTTGTCTCCTGCAGTGGGAAAAGATGCTATCTGGACTGAAATCCCATTCAATTCAGACACATATTCAGAATGCAAAGGCAAACAATACGTCAAGAGGACCTGGTATAAGAAGTTTGTAGGTGTGCAGCTGTGCAATTCTTTGAGATACAAAATATACCTCAGTGATTCACTTACAGGTAAGAGACATTCAAATCAGTGTTGTTCACATTACATACTCCTGAACGATATGGTTCCAGAACTAAGAGATTTAACAAATGAGCTCTGCTGAAGTGTGATCAGATATGTTTCACTTAGTGTATAGACAGATTAATCATAAACACTAATCTGCTTGTGCTCAATAATCATTGATGTGTTTGATACTGAATTTTCAGACTCGGGAGTTACTTCTCTGTGGTGATCATCTGATTTTAAGTACCTGTTGGTATACTGAGGATCATACAAAAAATTGATACAGATCAGAGTGAATAGCATATGTTGTAAAAGTGCCAAATTTGTATTTAAAGGGTAGCCAAGAATAATTCTTAATTAGAGGATCAGGACTTAATTTTAGACCAGGATTAGACTCAGTTATTCCTATCCTTTTTGGTAAACAGCAGGGTACTTCATTACCGGGAGACTTATAAATATATGACTTCAACTCTGGTCAACAGGTTTTACTCACCTGCTTTGACATTTTTTTTTTTGTTATCACATTCACAACTTTTACCTTCCCCCTCCCTTTTTTTTATTTCTCCTTATGTTACGTTTTATTACTAAGACCAACCTCCTGGCCTTATCTTCTCAAGTTTTGTTTAGTGTCTTTAGGCCAATAGAGTGTGATGTATTTAAGACCTGAATCAAGTGACACATGCTATGTGTATGCAGGGGGCACAGCCTGTAAAAAGGGTCTTTCAGTTAGTTGACAGGCAGATCTTTGTGACTCATGTAGATTGTACAAGCTATATTTACTGTATTTAGAAATATATTAACTTCTTATAATCCATCCCAAACTTCTAGCTTTCTTCTCTATGAGGTCTTTTATCATGGACAGCTCAATGACAATGGCATTAGCCTGGCATCCAGAGCACAATGAGTATCATACAACCATTTATGGGAAATGCCTTTTGAGTGAAATTTAGGCAAGTGTGTTCAACACATTGGATCAAATAAACTAGGAGATACTGGGGCTGACAGAATCTACTTTCATAACCCAAAGTTGCCCCATCTCAGAGCTCAGCACCTCACAGTAGCAGGGCTCTGATCTCTGTATGTAGAAATATGGAAATAAAAGAGGAGGGGAGTGTAAGGCAGCTCACATTGTTATAACTTCAAGCTTCCCTGCCTTGCACCAGAACTATTCTCCAATGAGCAGACAAGGAAGCCTTGTCATTAACACGAAGTACAATACCTCATATGTAAATAACATCTTAGCAATTACAGGAATAAAAGAGACTGTTTTGAACAGAGGTATCATTCATTCAACTGATGCTGTACTAATCAGCTGTGATCAAATGACAAGCACTGGCAATGAGGTATCCCAAAACCAGCCAGTAGAGGAAATAGCAGTGCTAATCTAGCAGGACTAGACTTCAGCCCTAAATCAAGTGAATTAACACTGCAGTGAAAGCTACTCCAATCTTAAAAGCAAAGTTTAGTATCAGGAGCCCATTTTCCTATTTTCATTAGATTGTTTTTGTTCTTGCTGGAAGGGTGGAAGTTTAACCTCGCTGGAGAAAGATGAGGCAGACACACTGTATTCATTATACTTGCTAAGCCTGGTTCTTGCACTTGAATTGTTACAACCAGTGCTAACCAGTTGTCACAATATTTGAAAGAAGTGAAATATTTACGCAGAAGGAAAGCTGCTTTCCCCCCATTTGCTAAGTGAGGCCTCTGCATGCGAGTGAGAAATTTTCCCCTTTGAAGCCAAACTGTTCTGATGTGTTTCACTGTCACACCTCGCCTCATCCTGCTCCCGGGGCCAGAGGAAGTGTCCTTGCAAGTGCCAGCCAGCTGGGAGATGTGTGCCAGTAGTGAAGGGCTGTGCTGAGGTCCACTGCACGCTGAAAATACCTTCCAAAGCTTTGCTGTTGAAGCAATGGAATTACCCTTAAATTTGGGTGCATTGTACAAATGCTGTTGTATGAGGCAGCCGACAGACATGCTGGTTTTTAGCATGAATTTACACTTTTAGTGCTGCAGAATTCATAATGTATAAAACAAAGACCTAACATTTTTAAGACCACCCATACAGCAACACTGGGAAAAAAATTTACTTTATGCTAGAATTGCTATCCCCAAAACAGAAAAACAGTCAGTTCTTAGCTAAATATTTTTAAGTATGTTCTTTTATTATGGAAATAATTGGGCAGTAAGAATGTAATAGTCACTTAGAATGCTGCTAATTTATGTGTAGCAATTGTTTGAGTTATGCATAGGTTAAGCTCTGGGTCAGAAGAGTATGTGTGCATCTGAAAGTTACTGTTCTGGTGTTAGCCATAAAAATTTCTGGTTTATTCTGCCTCTTATGAAGAAAAACTGATCTCTGTTACACATGCCAGTACTGTTCTATAAACCAGCATCTACTGCTGACCTCATTTAACAGTCCTCCAGAGCAGTCACTGTAGGCATTCCAGAAAAGCAGGCCACCTAAAAATAAGTATTTATTGAGAGGAGGAAAAAAATTAATTCTATGTGTGACCTTCAACAGCCATGGAAAAAAAAATGCCTTTTTGGGCAGCCTGAGTGTTCTTAATTTCAGACCAAAAAATTGCTGAGAGGAACTCCTTCTGACCAGTTCTATGGAAAAAACATGTCTGCAGCCAAAGCTAGATAGTAATAAATAATTTTGTAAAGCTAGAGAAGAACCGCACGCACAGAGCCCATCAACTGAAGGTGAGAAATTTTGGCAAAGTGCTGCTCAGATCACACAAACATGAGAAGGAGTTTATTGGTAGGCTGCTCTTTAATTAATTGCACTTTGGGAGCAGTATTATAAGCCACCTCACCATCTCTGAAATTGCCAGGCTGGCACAGATTCAAGCTACAGGACACCCAGTCTAATGAGAAACTGGATTTTCTGCCTAGCTTATACCAGAGTGCTGAGCCTGTTTCTAAATTCTCTCGCCTTTCCTTTCAACCTCACGACCAGAGGCTGAACATATTAATGCTGTGAAAAGAGTTTAGAAAGAACGGTAAGTTTATCTACAAATGTTTCCAACCAAGCTTGGAAAGAGGATGTAGCATGCTCTACTCCATTTTCCGAACTGAATTTTACTAATGTCTTGCAAATCAAATCAGTACGTAAAAACATCTGTCAAAACACCTTCACTGTGACTCCCTTTGTTAACAGGATAAGCACAGCCCATAACATCAGCACACACTGCATGGGGCACTTGAGACTTTGTTTTCTACTCAGTTGAGTCAAGTGTCCTGTTAAACAATCCTGCAAATAAATACACAGGCACACTTAATGCTCTGGATAAGCAGTTACCAACCAAGGTCATCCATATGTTAAAGGATATCACTTGCACATACATGTTGTAAAAATACAATGATTTATAAAACAGACCTCAACTGTGTTAGGAGGTGGTCTATAAAAACATCTTTGAAGGTACTGGAGGCTTCCTGACAGGGAACCAGACCTGCCTTCCACTCAAATCACTAGCAAAACTTACCTCATTTTTGATACAATCAGGGTGAGCTTCTAGGTAGTAACTGAATTCCCCTTATTGTATGAAATGTAATGAGGGGGGAGAATTACATCCAGGCATAATTTTGGCCAGGAGTGGGGCATTTTTGTCAGTAGCCATGAGCACTGTACTTGGAACCTGCACATCATTTTCAAATTACAGCCACAGGTCCTGAGAGGAAAAGAATCATAGCATTCACCTTGGCTTCCCCACAGAGGAAAGAGCACAGCCCATTGCCTCTGGTAGTTTTTGGAAATAGCCCTCACTAAACTTTGCTCCTTCTTTGCTTTCAGGAAAATTTTATAACATAGGAGACCAGAGGGGCCATGGAGAAGATCACTGCCAATTTGTAGACTCATTCTTAGATGGAAGGACAGGACAGCAAGAAGATCTACCAGTCAAAGATGGTAATTTCTTATGCCTGTCTGTAGCAAACCTCAGCAATTCCTCTGTTTCTTTTTCTTGCCAGTGGATTGGATACCCACTGCTGGTTGGGGTGGGTGATGGAAAGGAACTGCCGTCTTTGCAGGCAGAAGAGGGTCAAGACGTTTTTCAAGATGACTGATGACTTATTAAGACGGTTATGACTCCAGTTCTGTTAAGTAGTAAACAGCCTCTCTCCTGTTTAAAACATTCCAGCAGATTACTCACACTTGGTATTACATATTTAAACCCAATCACAAACTTGAGTCTGCAGAGAGGCATAAAGTGTTGTGTTCAAACTAGCAAGGTTGATTTAAAGAGCAGTAAATCATCAGTTGGGCATTAAACAGCTTTGTTTGGTGCTGACAAGAAGCTGAAAAGTTATTACTGGAAAATATAATTCACGCTGCAGTAGTTCTGTGTGCACTGGTTTTAACTGGGTGCCCAAAACTCCAGTCTGGTCTGAGTGGACATGGAAGTAGATGTCCTAAACACAGCTGTGACCTGCCTGGCTATTTTTCACACATTGCTGAGGCTGGAGAGTATGAAATTTGTACTTGTGTCAGCTGAACTCCTGCCTTGCTGCTTGGCAGCGATGCCAGTGCGAGGTATTCCATTCCCTTGTGGGGTAAGAACACAGGCTGTGCTGGTACACGCGCGTGCTGAGCTTGTCATGGAATATTTTACTGAGAAAAACAGCAGAATGATTTTCAGTCCAATATCAGCGTGTTGACCAAACCCTCCTGTGCCTCAGTTATAAAATACCCTACAGAAGTCCAGAAATGTGTTGAGGTAGGTGTGGGAGATGAATGTGAAGTTCCTAAATCTTTCACAAGTTTTTCCAAAAAACAAAGTAGGTGAACAATCTGAAGGGTGTTTGCTTATGTGTTTTGTGAGTTTTTTCTAAAGAGGGTCATGCTTTTCCTTTCCCAGTGTTTCCTGTTTGTAAAGGTATTTTCTTTGTGCAAGAGGTGGTCTGAATCCAATTTGACATTGCCAGAACAGCAAACCTCTCAGCTATACCAGATTTACATTTTTAAAGATTTTATATTTTAAAAAGCCTTTTATGTAACAAGCTCAAAAGACTTAAAAGACTCAGCTTAAAAGACTTAAAACCAATTTGATTTCAAGAACTGGATTTAATTGAGTGAGTTCATGAGCTACACTCACTTTTAGGCAAAAACAAACAACAAAACAAGCAAACAAAAGAAGACTCCACCTTTTCTGTAGCTTATTTTTCTAGTCAATGAAGTGAACAGAGGAAAGAACAGACCAATTGTCCATTGCTGCTTGCTTTCTTCTTGGCTGCAGCAAGTTGAGTTCTGAATTAACTACATATATTTGACCTGAAGTACAGTGAGGGAATCATGGCTGATGTTGTGTATCATTGGCAGAACAGTATTTTGTGTGTGCCTGCATGCCTGTGTGCAGACATGCCTGCTTTACCCACACATACATTTCTGATGATCATGTTGGATTCAGCCCTAATTGCTCACTTTAATTTGTAATTTAAAGTTGTTTGAAAGGGAAGCACGTGTGTTGTCAAAGGTTACAGACCGAAAGCAGGAGGTACGATCTTTCGCTTGGGAATGTGGAGATAGTGTGAACTAATCCCCAGTTTTACTGAAGTTCACTGAAGTTTCAAGGCTACTGCAGTGGGGACTATTTAATCATTGTGACTTTGCAACAAGTGTTCAGAGACCCTGTCATAGCCAGAGAGGGGACAGAAGGGCACTGGCCAGCACCATCCCCGGGTGGGTGCTGGCGTCTCAAGGGAAGGCAGCCTTTCACCACCATCCCAAGCACATCTGCCTCGAGTTGGGTGGACAAATTCCAGAGAGCTAATGGATGTAGGGGCAGCAAACAGCCCTGCTTGTGGCTGTGTCACATGTTAACAGCTTAGCAACTATTTTAGAGACTAATTGAAACGTACACAGATTTCACAGGGAGATCAAAGCATGGTAGTCCTGAGCGCTTCATGCAAACTAAGCTCTATTCTCTGTTGCAGGATTTTTCAGGGCAGTTCGTCAGGAACCTGTCAAATTTGGAAAAATAGGTGGGGAGACTCAAATTAACTACGTCCGCTGGTACGAGTGCGGCACATCAATCCCTGGGAAGTGGTAGATGCGACACGAAGTTGGTGAAGAGGCCCAGCATGTGCCACCTCCACCCCACTGCCCCAGGCTCAAGGACGGCAATGCTTACGGTGTGCCTGGCACTTCAGTGCCTGCTCGTGTGCCAGGGTTTATACAAGTCTAATGCCAATACTGCATTCATTGTGTAATAGCGTAGGCTGCTTACTGTAGTTATCCAGTTTTACAAATTTGTTTTTAGATTAAAAACACAAACAGGCTAGGGACATGCTGTAGGATAATGTATAGGGAAGCTGGCTCCCTATTCTTGAGGTATGGTTTATATGGTATTTTAAAAGATACGGTGTGTCTATTATTTATCGTGATGTTGTAATAAATGTTTAAGGCACAGATATGGCAGAGTTGGTCATGGAATGCAATGTACGTTAGTTTTTAAATATTTCCTGGTCTTCTTGTAATGCAAGTGCCATAAGCTACCTGTCCAGATCCATCTGTAATGTCTCCCAGTCATAAATTATAGAAAAGATCCTACAATTTTTAATATCCTGCAGCCAGTAAACTTGAAGCACTTTCTTCTTACACGTACAGTTTATACTCCTGCCAAAATGCTGAGGTAGGTTGCTATATGTGCAGCTTTAAATTATCAAATTGGGGGGGGGCATCTGTTTGTTCTCGAATGCTTCAACTCCAGCAAAAGCCATGTTTGGCCTGTCATTATGGAGTCAGAGCTGCTGCCCATGAGTGTGGCGGTGGCTGGCGGGTGGGTTTGGTTTTCTCTAATTAAAGTGGACAGGTACATACATACATGGAATGAAACAATGAAACTTGGCTTCCACAGCTGTCTTCAGACACTGAGACTTACTGGTTCAAAAGCCAAATGTATGTACCATGCAGGGGAACTTGGAAAGACAAATGAGAGAGGAAAAAAAATAAGCTAGTTATAACAGCATGATCAGGTTTATTTAATTTAAGAAGAAAAATTGTGATCTAAAACATTTTTCATTGGGGACAAAGGGGAAATAATGATAACTGAACTTTAAAACTGCTTTACAGTTACTTTGATTAAAACCTCTCCCAAAGCTACTTGTTGTACTGCTTGAACATTTATGAACTAAATAAAGAGATGTAGGGTTTTTTTTAAAGGTGTTATTCATTACCTTACTAATGTATTGAAGAAATATGAACAGGAACACCCAGATATATATAGTAGTCATTTATAGAAAATACCTTATAAAGTACATTGCAGGTACACTGTACTCCTAATAAAATATTTTTTAATCAAGTGTTTTTCTCAAGTGTTTTACATGAAAACAGGGATTAGTTTCTGTGGCAAATGCCACAGATATGTTCTGTTATTCAGAGCAAACTGGTTCCGGGAAATAGGCCTGTGTTAAACAGTGTGACAAACAGATGATATGTGTTAGATCCGAGGAGAGAAGAAAAAGTAGATATAGCCACAGCTCACTGGGTAGCATGGCTGATATGGGCACAGCACTATTTAAGGATGCTAATTTGTCTTTAGGAGAGTTCAAGCAGCTTGTCAAGCTCATTTTTTATTCTCCACTTAGTTTTACATATTCCTAGAATCTGCAAGATGGAAAATATTAACTGGAGAATGATTTGCCCTCTGCTGTAATATGGTCTATTGAATTTGTTACAGCCCTTGATCTGCTTTTTCTTGGCTCAAAATTGAGTCACTAGGATTGCACTTCCAAATTCTTCTGGGTGGCAAAGAATCTGTGGAAAGTAGTTTCTTTTAAAGAGTTCTTTTTTAAAGATACACATTTGGCTTGAATGTTCAAGTAATAAACTAATTCTCCCCCAGCCCTTGTTAAAGTGAAATTGATAAGAGGCTGTAAGATTTTATGGATTGGTTCCTATTCACTTGGTAAACGGGTTACTTGGCAATTAACAACAGCAGGCAGGACAAACCCACCTACTGCTGTGAAACCTCTGTGACTGCCATTTCTACTCACAGCAGTTCTCCATTTACACACGTAGAAATCTGCCCCTCCTCCTACACACCCGAGCACCGCTGATCTTTACTGCCCAGTCTGTACATGCAGCATGCACAATGGACTTAACACAGGTTTCTTGTCCAGTATTACCTAAGTTCTAAAATGAAGATCAGCCACTTGATAGATTCAGGGTTTTTATTAGTTCTTCCATGTGAGCATTACAATTTATAATACATCATATCTAGTTTTACCTCCAGAATGAACCTAATTTAGTACATCATGGTATTAGTAAAAACAAGCCCAGTAAGTGGGCTAAACTTCCAACTAGCATCTTCATATCCTTCAGACAAGGCAAGCTAGAATGTCAATCACTTTACAGACATTTAAGTAGTGTTTCCCAAAAACCACCCAGCCCCAAATTAAACTAGGAAGCGGATACAATTTAAAGCAGGAAAGATTTGGTCATTTCCCTTCCCCCAGCAGATTTTAATTAACAGCTATAGTTTCACCTCATTACAGTTTTGGAATCTCAATTAAAAATCCTGGAGTCTGTTGGGATGGAATCGCACGTGTCACTTGCCCGCTGCAGGGGCACCTCCTTACCGGTAGCCGGGTCCGGGCTGCGTGTAGCCCTGGGGGCCGAAGGGCGGACGGGTGCGGGCGTAGGGGTTGGGCCCGCTGGGCGGGGGGGTCATGGTGCTGTGGCCGGGCGGGGGGGGTGAAGCCGGGGCGCGGCTGGAAGGTGCCGGCGCCGCTGGACCTGTGGAGGCGGGCTGGGAGGCCTGCCGTGGTGTAGGGCTGCGCGGGGTAGCCGCCACGGGTACTGCGGGCGGCCTGCTGTGCCGGCAGCTGCTGCGGCTGTCCCGGGAAGGCGGCGGCCGGGGCCGGGGCCGCCTGGCTGTAGGCCGGGAACTGCTGAGCTTGCTGCGACGGGGGCTGCTGCTGGCTGTAGCCTGCTGGAAAGGCAGAGAGCGAGGTGAGGTGAGAGGCAGCAAAGAACCGTGGGTGCCTGCAGAAAGGCTTTTGTTTTTTTTTAATATTTACAGTGATGAATGCAAAACAATGCAGTAAGCGGAGAAAACGCAAACCAAGAGTGAACTACAAGTTTTCCTGCCTTTCACACATAAGCACATGGCCTGGGTTTTGGTGCACTACCGTGGCAGCACAGCACACTGACAACAGTTAGGATAAAATAGTGACTGACACGGAATAACGAAAAAAAAAAAAAGACACATAGTCTTTCACTTCATATCACACGAAAAATAAAGTCTTCAATGGCAAGTAAGGCAAAATACAACCTTTTCCCAAACAAAACCTCCAAATTACTGCCATGAAAATACTCTCGCTGTTTAATATAAGTCATACCTCTGGTTAAATTACAGGTGTTTTCAGTTCTTTAGCATTAAATATGAAAAGACTGTGCAGAACAGAACACTGTAGTACAAAACTTCAATATAAACATGTCACAAACTTGATTTTTGTGTATAAAACCAGCTTCCAAAAGGAATTTCTCTTCTTGAAAACTTTAAAATGGCACAAAGTCCTTTTATGAAGAAATAGCTACTTTTATCCATCATGAAACACACCTGCAGCTACTTGCAATGAAACCTCTCCAGTGACTGGAATCCTGTCAGCATTAAACACCAGACACACAAATTATTAAAAGTGCACAGCCCTAAACAGAAAGAGTAAGGGTAAGAATGCACTGGAGTAAACTCACCTTGAAACTGGGATCAAAATTTACTCATGAGAGAGACAAACCTCTGAAGGGTCCATTTTTACTACCATGTATAAATAGCCACACTGTTGCCTAGTAGATCTACAAGAGTGGGAAGAGATTGTGCTCTTGGGAGACATGAGTTCAAAAAGAGACAATACTCACAGGAACAAAAGCAAAACAAAAAAATCCTATGACTCAACATTTTCAAAGGCTGCTGTCACCTCAAAAAAAAGACTGTTTCTGACAGATTAGGTTGATTGTGAAAGAACTTATGAGAAACAGAGGCACCCCAATCAGTTTTTGGTGGAGTTTCATTCTTGATGATGTTGGTTAGAATGTAGAACTCACATTGCACTACAGCTTTCACAGGAACATCTCCAGTAAAATAATGGATTAGATGATTAGAAAGCAGATTAGAACTCCTTTTTTTCCCACTCAGTTTTTAAGCCTAAAAAATCAGATAGACTCTTCTACTTCCAACAGGCTTGTTACTTCTTCTGAAATTAGACTTCAGCGAGTCTGTCACTGTCTAATTATAAATGTGTGGGTGAGAACAAGATACCATTTAGAGACCAAAACCAACCAGCACACAGTGCACAGGAACAAGGGCTGAGGCAACAACCTTTAGTTCAAGTGTTCTGAAGTTCTAATCCAAGCTAAACATCTTTGTAAACTCTGCAAATATTCTCATCTATATAAAAACTGATGCGCTCCCACTGTATATCTTGTGTACCATGACAAGGTCACACTGGCTCTGAGTCACTTAATGGGAGTCTTTTGTTTAATTTAAGGAAGATTTTTAAAACAAGAAATGATAAATGCTTTGTATCATTTTCTAGAAGTATTAAGCAACGTGCAATTTGTTATGCAACCTGCTCTTACGTGTTCATCCCTGTACTTTATCTGGATTGTGATTCCTACTATGCTTTATTAGATGCCAGCTGCTTCTAAAGCAAGTAACTGAAAGTTCTGAAGTCCAGTTTATTTTGAGTATACAGCTGTTCAAATATCATTGCACAAAAACCACACTAAAAGTCTACTGGCATCTTTACCTGAGGTATCAGCAAAATCAACAACCAAAAAAAAAATCTACCACTTCAAAGTTTCTCTGAAACTTACAGTATTTATAACAGCCAGGGATTTTACTAAATGACAACTACAGTGTTCACACCACTAAATTTTGTACATGGAGATCATTCTAGATGAAGAAAGAGAGGCCATCTTTAGATACCTCCAGTATCTAAGGAAGCTGAACTGGGGTGTTTTAGTCACTTGCTACAATCCCATGACTGTGGAAGTTAATCCTGAAGGCTGCTCATCCTTCAGGTGATTCCTTTTGCCTGCCCTTCTAATAAGGCATTCTGCTGATTGATAATGAAGTTTGCTTTTGGTCACAATCAAGTAGGACTGAGATACCAGAACTCTGACTATGCTTCAACAACACAGACACCTACAGTGTTCTCTTACTGGTCACTTTTGAATTGTGCTACTTTCCATAAGGAACACAGGCACCTGGGCAGCTTAGTACCCTGACCTGCCCCACAGGGTCAGGAACCAAAACTCACAGGCTCAGGACTTCAGGGGGTTCTGCAGCCAAACTGCTGTTCGAGAGAGCTGCTTACCTGGGTACTGCACGCCGTACTGCTGCTGGGGCTGAGCCTGCGGCTGCTGGGCAGGGTAACCAGGCTGTTGGTACTGCTGATACATCTGACCTAGGGATTAAAAACGTATTTAATTGAAGCCCAGTACCCTACCTGTATTATAAACACACAGCCAACAATATCCTGACAGTTCAAACTCACAGAAACAGACCCTCTCACAACACGTAAAAACCTTTTTTAGGAAACCTCAACACAGTGAAGTCTGAGTATGTGTTCTACCTGATTTCCAACTGAAACCAAAGTACAGATTTCAGTTTCTGAACCATGCCGTTCTGAAGGCTAAATGATGTTTGTCTATCTCCCACAGATTTGGTATCTGAGGCTTACTAGTTCACATTTCCAGAGGATGCCAGAAGCTGTGCACCTTAGTGCTACTCTAGTGGGTAACAGACCAGGAATCTTTAAACATCTTCATAAGTGCTCCAGAACTTACACTGTAAATTTAAGTACTTCAAAAGTTAAACATGTCCTCAGATTGTCTGTTTATATTAGGTTTTTAAGGCCATTTCTGCAACAAAGTACTGTAAGCAGAGTGGTACATTATTTATGCTGACCACATTTTCCAGATAAGTCAGCCACCTCTCAGCATCGCCAAGTTTTCTGAAGAGACCCAGGGGTATACACCCGAAGGAAAAATAAAACCATACATTCTTAAGCTTAGGTAGTCCAAGGCAATGCTTATTTTTCCTAAATTCACTGTTTTCAATTTCTTGGCCAGAAGAGGCAGAATATTTGTTTAGACAACCTATGGGCTCCGCTTAAGCTTTATGCTTCTGCTGTTTTTCAATTTAGTAACAGGCACA